AACAACTCCAAAAGAACTCAATAAGACTTACTTCAAAGTACAGCATATATTGCAATAATTTGTGTGGGTACATTGCCTCAACCACTGTTTAAAATTAGCCAGTAGTTTAAAGAACATGATGATGACTTTAGGGTGTTGCTCATGCTTCCAAATTCCTTAGATCTCAAACCAATTGAGCATCTTTGGGAGCTGCTAGACCAACAAATTTGGCAGCTCCATCTCACAACCTACACAACTTGAAGAATCTGCTGCCAGATACCAGATCTTAATACAATTTACCAGAGTAAAGTGGATAAAAAGCCAACAAGGGACGAGCAAAATATTATAATGATGTTCATTGTTGTTAGCCTCATTGGAAATTTTAGCGAAATGTAAAATACCTTGTTCCGGCTGCGTTTTATGCACATTTCAGATGATAAATCCACTAGAGGGTGCTGTAAAGATTTTACGAATAAATAAAATACATTACTTCGGGAATGCTTTGTTGCACATTTCAGATGCACATCTTTACGTACAAGATTACCTAAAACAGTTACCCACTGACCTAAACCCTTTCCTTAACCAAACCAATTGTTTTAAAAACCAAATGTAAGCAAAAAGTGTACTGCAACCTTGATTTTTACATTGCTTTCATCTCTTTTGTGGAACTGTGCTACATTACACTTGAAGCGAAGCGCTCTGCATCACAAGAACAACACGTACAAAGTGAGCTACCAAGCAAACTGACCATGCTGGAAATGTTGTCCATATGGAGGTAAGTAAGGCAAACGTATTTCATTACAAACCACAGACATCATTAAGTTGTTTTGCGGTATTTTTTGGTGTTGTAGAAAGAACTGCACAAAAATAACAATTTATTAGTTGATAATATGTCCATGCACTGTAAATATCATTAGAGTAGGAACAAGTTTTCGGGCATCATATTATATATTTTTGGCATTCATTTTATTTAAAACTGCAGTCAAATACGTTTTTATGTGGTTTCATATTGGTATTTCCGATGAAAGGCTCCTATTGAATTAGATATAAATCTGTACATGATCTTATGCACCAAGTGAATAGTTCAAAATATTCTGGCAGTAGCTGAGATCAAATGAAAGATTAAACATTGCCTAATTGTCAAGGTAAGACAAAGTTTTAGGGAAACATGTTTAGAAATAGTCAATATTCTTGTAACGTACACACCCCACCATTAAAGGTGTGATAAAACACATATCTGCAGATCAAACAGTTGGGAAATTATAGTTTACCACTGACCAGGCTTTATAGTTCATACATAATATAATTTATAATTGACCTGGCATTCTGGTTTCCCATTGGTTAAAAAAAATGTAACAAACATTCACGGCTTGTATTATTTTTAATGAAGAGATTGTATAAAATTAAATGAAATGCAGAGAAGGCACTTGGTTTAGTGAACTGGTTTTTGTGTTCTGAGATATGGAGAGAGATAAATGTGATTTTGCTGGGGCAGTTTAAACAGACTAAATGACATGGAGAAATCCTGAATACATAATCAAGAAAGAGGTATTTTCACCGGAGGGTCTCAATTAGGGGCAAATTTTTAATTTAATGCCGTCTTCAAGGACATCTTACAGCATGTGATTTACACAAGCTGTATGCAGACACGATGTGCAGCGCACGCAACACTAAAAAAAAATAGGGCAAATGTAAATAGCTACCATCCAGAACATATGAATTCGTTTGAACTACATGCAACTAACATCCCTGTTTCAGCATCTGAATAATAATTCACTTGTACTCAGCGTCAGACTGCATAACACGTATGTCAGAGGTCCAGCAGGAATGAGCAAGGACTCAGGCCCATCTTAAAGAGCTTTTATTTAATCATAGAGCCCTCTGCTATTCACTGGCCTCAGGGCAAACTGTCTGCACTCTGCATTTCACTGAGTTGCTGAGCACATGCGACGTGATCTGTGTGTTTGTGCGTGTCTAAAGAAGAGGATGAGCGGCTGGGCAGAAAAAGTATTATCTCTTCATTATGAAGGATGACAGTTAACGAAGGGGTCTCTGAGTGTGTGTGTCGCTCCTGTATTAACAGAGTGATGAATTGCTCTGGGACCCCGCCAAATGCACAGTGCTGCTCTCATACACACACACCTTTCAGTAACATCTCTTCCTGCTTAATAAACTCTTTAGTGTGTCTGAAACTGCTTTTTATTCTCTAAATTGTTTATTATCTAGAGATTTGGCCATTCTGTTGTTCAAATTAGGACCGGTTTAATTTTCGATGTTCACTCTTATACCTGTAATGCACTTTGACTCTACAGTGTCCGACCAACAAATTCACCTACACTCATTTTTATTCACTTCTTGACCTTCTACATTCTCTATGTTTGATTTAGTATTTACTGAAAACAGCAACTAAGTAAAGTCACTTGACATGTGGCTACAGCAGATCTTTTAGACAACTCCAGATAATGGAGAAAAGTGAAAGCGAGTATAGAAATACACAATCGGTGGCTGGAGAGAGTGAGGAGTGGACTGATGGAAAAGCAAAGGCCAGACAAAAATGAAAGCAAGCAAAGTACTAAAGTGTTCACAGACAAAAGAAGAGAATGTAAAAGTAAGACCAAAAATAAAAGTGAGAACATAAAAGCTTGTCTTCTCGTCAGAATGAGGACAGCTTTCGACACGCTTGTCCCTGACCTTAACAGCTAGTCAACAATGACAGACAAGCAAAGATAACGTGACAGGCATTCAGCTTTCTACAGCATGTTCATAAGACATACCAGCTTGTAGTACAGTGGTCGAATAATATACTGAAGATTATTTGCCCAATATAATTTTAATTTTAAAGTACAGACATTGGCTGAAGGTTTCACATCTGACTGATTAGTGTAAAGTCAGTGCAAAAATATTCTAATAATTATATATACACTCACTGGACACTTTATTAGGTACACCTTACTAGTACCGGCTTGGGACTGTTTTTGCCTTCGGAACTGCCTTAATCATTGGACATGGTCAGCAACAATACTCAGGTAGGCTGTGAAGTATCAATCGATGTTCAATTAATACTAATGGGCAAGTGTGCCAAGAAAATATCCCTCACACCATTACATCTAAGCCACCAGCCTAAATCGTTGATACAAGTAGGAATGTATGAGCACGCACACGCGCAAACAGACACACACACGCATGCATACACACACACTTTCTAAGGGTGTGCTGACACTTGTAGTTCAGTTTTCTTGTTTGCTTGGTCTGGACTTGTCTGGTGTGCAACGAGGTTCAGATGACACTGTTCACACTAACTCAGATAAAACCCACCAACAAAGCAATCGCACCAGAGTTCATTTTAATCAAACCAAACATAACAAAAAATCCACACTGGCCAAAAATCCTCAATGTTTGGCCAAGCAAATAAAATGATTAAGTGAACATGCAAAAGAAAGGGGATGTGGGTAATATTTTGACTGATGTGCATATGTACTGTTCTCAAACACATTGCATCTGGGTCTTTTCAGCAGATTTTATCACAAACTGTTCTTTGTTTTTAGTTAAACATTAAATTAGGTTAAACAGTTAACTAGTTAAACATGTACTTAGACTTTATCAATAAGTGTTCTTTGCTGCTTTTGGACTAAAAATGGCGTTTTGCACCATATTTTAACTAAACGTGATGTGGTGCCACGATTCCCAATAAAATGCATCTTTACCATGCTAAAAGCAGTTTTGCCCTAACAATCTACGATGGCGATTCACAAAATTTATATTTTTAAAATGCTTCCTATTTCCACGACATCACGGTTCAGTGGGGAGCACGTTAGTTATCCACCTATGAAAGTCCAAATGTTTTGCCTAATACACACAGGATGTACTGTGGGGTTTTGGAGATGTATACATCACCATATGGGGCATGAGAATAGAATGTGCATTAGGATATAACTCAGTTTTTTGACCACACTTCGCTATTATTGTTCATTTATTCATTTGCTGCAAATTAGAACTGAATTTAGAAATAGTTTTAAAATGAATCTTTGCGCTTAACAAATGAAATTAAATATATAGGCTAATGGATGCCTTCAGTGGAGTGCGTACAGCACTGTTTTCCTAATCTACGAAAGTAAAAGAGTAAAGTAAAGAGTAAAAGTAAAGTAAAAAGAAAGTAAAAAGGCTGAATGGAGGAAGCTTGGTCTTTATCCTTGTGCTGCAGATGGTCTGTTTAACTGTTTTCTTGCTAGTAAAGCATTTAGTTTTTCCACTACAAAATCCACCATGTAAATAGCGAATGTGTCATGGCACAACACAACTAACTCAATAAGCGATGAAGCTGTTATTGGTTTAAAGCATGTTATGCTCAAAACACACCCATAACTCATTAAGTGAATAAGCACAACCCTGTTAAACAAATGGCCACTGCGCAGAGCGTATTTTACCATCCTTAAAATAGCAAAAGTGGATTCAGACATGCCTTTAATGCTTTTGTGTCATGCGCTTTAGACTTTGTGCCTAATCATTAAAATAGTGCCCTTAGTGTTGAATGCTATCAATATGACTACAAATAGTTCACCTGAGATCTTGAAAATAAATAACTAGCAGACAGTTGAAAGAAAAAAAAAGAAAAGTCAGAACTGTGCATCCAGAACAACATCAGTCATGCAGAAGCCTATTAATAATGTCAAAAAGGGTTTAATATGTATTGATTGGATTAAAAGCCTTTCCTATTTTGGTGGGAGTACAATGGTTTTTATTTAAAACTTTATGTCATGTTGCATTATGTGGAATGTTGGAATATGTTGTTAGAACAAGGCGTTAGGGTTTGAAAAGCTGCTTCACGCATTGCAGAATGACAACTTTAATCAAACTCATACAGATCACTTTGTTTTCAGTGCATGCTAGTGAAACATGTTGAAAACTACATATAATGTTTAAAGAATGATGATTTTCATGTGTTTTCAGCAGATTTCATCACCAACTCTTCTTGGGTGTCTTGAATAAGAAAGAAAAGGAGGAAAAAACAGGTCAAAACTCACCTTGACTTTTTCTGGACAGTCATTGGAGCACAGGCCACTGAGCACTGCAGAGAGAAAATGATAATAACAAAGAAAGAGAATCACAACATTGTCTCAAACATATGGCCCTCAGATAAGACAAGCTGATAACAGTATCCATATCAAATCCACCTCAAAACACTCTGTTAAAACAAAAGGAAGAAGTACTGTACATTCTAGTATCACACAGTATATCAGAATCTCCTGCTCCCAAACTCATCTTCAGCCAGCAATTATGCCTGGGGAAATTGAACAGGACAAAACGCACACTAAATTTCCCCTAATGGTGTGAAATAAGAGCCAGACTTTCTGCTTCTCTAGAGGCCAGAACTGAACGTGTGTTAGCGCATATGAAAGAGAAAGTACAAATCATTAATTGCTCATTAGCGGCACACAAAGAACCATCTGTGTACTTGTGCATCTGTCTTTATCTAAACGCAGCATTAGATTTTTAAACTGCCAGTGACAAGGCAGCGCTATTTAAAGACACAGTAAATTAGAAAGTTCAGGGTGGTAGAACACCAGCATAAATTATATCAAGAAAAAAGTAAAGGACAAAGAAAAAAAAAAGGTCTGTGATGGAAAAACAAATGATGAAAATGTTTCAATCACTCTTTGTCTGCTGGAAACTTCCAGAATTTCTTATTTGGTCTGGCAGACACTTGTTCTGCATGAGTTATTAGGAATGTGAAATCAAATATGTGGCTTTGGTTTTTGAAAGCAAATGTACTGAGGGGTGAAGACGAGGCGTGACATGAAGTCTGAAATAATTTTTCATTCATGCCCAGTCTAACAGTCTTTTTTGTGTGCTTGAAAGACGAGAACAGACAGATGAAGAGCATCTTTTAAAGTTCTCCTTCAATGAATATTACTGACAGCCCATTCGTAATGTTTTATGGACAGCATTTTGTACGGCCTTCTAGTTTAGTAAATAGGTAATGAAGAAATTTGTGTAATAGGACATAGTATAATTCAGACGGTTTATTGTGAAAAATCAGTGTAAATTTTTCATTTAAAACAAATTAAACAGCATTTAAAAATGAACATGACATTTTGGGTAACACTTTACAATAACCTTGAAATAGTTATAGTTAATGTATTATTCATTCATTTTCTTGTCGGCTTAGTCCCTTTATTAATCCGGGGTTGCCACAGCGGATTGAACCGCCAACTTATCCAGCAAGTTTTTACGCAGCGGATGCCCTTCCAGCCGCAACCCATTTCTGGGAAACATCCACACACACATTCACACACACACTCATACACTACGGACAATTTAGCCTACCCAGTTCACCTGTACCACATGTCTTTGGACTGTGGTGGAAACCGGAGCACCCAGAGGCAGGGAGAAACGCCAACTGAGCCAAGGTTCGAACCAGCGACCCAGCGACCTTCTTACAGTGAGGCGACAGCACTACCTACTGCACCACTGCCTCGCCCATAGTTAATGCATTAGTTAACATGAATTAACAGTGAACCACATCTGTCAAGCATTACTTTATCTCTTGTTAATGTTACTAAACATAATAATGTGTTATCAAATGCATTAGCCATTAATACATAAACTACGACTTCAGCACTATATATTAATGTTACCTTAATAATGTATTTCTTTACATTAACAGCCAAATAATTTTTTGTACATTTTACATAAATTAAATATTTTATGTATTATATTATACATTATTATAATATATTTTTATTATTAAATATTTTACATATGTATTTTAAATAAAGTGCTCAGCATAATTAAGTGCACACCATTTTGAAAATGAATACAGTGAATATAGGCAATGTATTTTGGTGCATTTAAACAAAACAGATTTATTAAACAGATATATTTATTAAACAATATTAAATAATAAATACTATTTTAGTCACAAAACATATTTAGAAATTAAAAGACAATTAAATTCAAGCAAAATATTTTTAAAAATTACAACCTAAAAAATTTTGAACAAAAGAAATCTTTTTTTTTTATTTTCTTGATTTTTCCTCTTTTTAAATTTTTACTTAATATTTTTATATAACATTTAAATTTGTGTGTACTAGTTTTTGGTCCGTTATTGTAAGTTACTTTGCTAGATAAGCTTCAGATTTGGCTTCAGTACTGACTAATCTATAATGTATAAGCACAAATATAATATTGTATAGCTTTCTATTAACAGTATGAATTTTAAAGATAAATCTGTGAGGGGTGTACTGATATACAGTATGCTGAGCACTGTATACACTAATGCATTGGTTCACGGATTTGATAAAATGACCTGTAACAATGGACGACACATGTATTCAGCAATACTGAATCTGTTATGTAAAGTGAACATATACTATTTTCAGTTCATTCTCAGTCATTTTTTATTTACAAAGCACATTTTAAAAAAACAATTCAAAGTTGCTCTACAAATTATAATAAACACAGAAAATTGTAAATTAGTAAACATACTAAACTCTAACAGAGGAAATAAAAAAATAGGAACTTACACTAAAGAGGAATATCTTGAGTTTGAGTTGAAAAACAAAACAATGAAGAGAGTTCGAAATGAGTCTGGATGGTTGTTCTAAAGTTTAATTAAGCTTGTTCTTAAGCTTTAATCTCGATCTACAAACAGACAGCATTCCAAAGCTGCCAGATCTAAGTGACCTAGATGGAGTTTAATAAGAGTATTAGTAAGATATGATGGTGCAAGGCGTTTAACTGGTTGCCAATGCAGAGGCTAAGATGGCAGAGATATGATCAAATTTTCGACTTCCTGCACTGAAAAAAAACGATGTCTTCAAAACTGCTGCAAACTATTTATTTGTGTTGAATTTAAACAAAAAAGTGCTTACAACCACTAAAAAAAAAGTACATCCAAGGAATCATCTTTAAATTATATATTTTTGTCTTGCAGCCTCATTTTGTGCCATTTGAGTCATCTGAGTGATTTGTTGATTAGTTCCATGGTAGAGTGAATTGAAGTAATTGAGGCTGAAAGTTATAAATGCATGGATAACTCATTCAAAGTTTTTAAAAGAAAGAGCTTTGCAACGCGTCATGGATGATAAAAACAGGTTTTAATAACAGTGTTCGTTTGTTTAATTGTTTATATTAATTTGTCAGTTAACATATTAGTTGCTGCTTTATTTCACATGAACAAAAACACAAATTAGTAACACAATGGCTCAAGTTGGAGCAGCTACAATAAGGTTCCTACACCCCTTAAAACGCGTTCTTAATGATAATTCATGCTATTAAACAGTTAACAGCATTAAACTAACCACTAAACTAGCACTAAACACTCTGAGCACAAACAAATTGCTTTTTATAACTAGCACTTCTTATGTGTATTACCTCTTGTTGTTGAATCGCTGAATGCCTTCTCAATTGTAAGTTGATTTGGACAAAAATATCTGCTAAATGACTAAATGTAAATGCAAATAACATCAGCTTCAACTTGCATGTTATTCTTGCTTGTTAACATTTTACTTAATTCATGTTAACCTATGCATTACCTAACACTAACTACTGTGATACAACAAAAGTTTTACATTTTGTTCCCATTTTCTATTATGTGCAGCAAAAAAACAAAACAAACAAACAAAAAAAAAAAATCAGCTCCATCTCTGGATTCTTTAAAAGGGGCATATTAGGCTTTTTTTTAACACAGTTTCAACTTCCTTTAGTGTGTAATGTTGCTGTTGGAGCATGACAAAGATCTGCGCAGTTATCAAATCCTCTTTCAAGGGGTAACTCTCTATATCAGTAAGCACTGTTTCTAAAATCCCCCAAATGTCTCGATTTTAGTCCTGAGGTTTCTTATAAGAAGTCATATTATTCCAAATTTAAATGACTCCCTCACACACCAAAGGAGCGAGTGTTGAGTTGCATTATTAAAGCTTTGTTGGGGTTGAGCCTTTGAAGAGATGCAGCTTCCCAGACCTATTATACTCATATATCTGAAATTTCTTCTCCAAAGTTTACATTCACAGACATAACCAACATTATGTGTACTACTGTGTGTTTTGTTCGTCATCTTGACTTTACCTTGTCTAGAACTTAGTTTAATACTATCTCACATGCTGTTGACAGCTAGCTTTCTGTGTGCTCTCAGGAGAAAACTGTTTTCAGGACGTTTTTTCTTTTCTTTTTTTTTTTTGCCAAAAGGGGTGTCTTATTTGCATTTAACAAGACAACAATGAAAATGTGCTTTTGATTCCACCACAAAAATGGGATTTAAAACATGGTGTAATAAATTAACTCTGAGGTATTTGGAGCTATAATATTTCATAGACACGTTTTGGCAAAACCTGAGACTTACTGTATATTACACCTTATATTATATAAAAACATGACATGACATGTAGTACTAGCTGTAGTGAGTTAATATCCAGCATGCTAAGGTTAGACAAGCTACCAAACATTACACTATGTACAGTCAAGGCCGAAAATATAAAATAAAATAAAAACACCCCTGGGGTATGAATGATTTCTGGTTTAACTGTATGTTAAGATACATTTAACAAAGTGTTTCCCAACCCTGTTCCTGAAGGCATACCAACATTTTCAACATCTCCCTAATTAGACACACCTGTATCAACTCATCAGAGCATCAGAAGAAACCTGAAATGAATGGGTCAGATAAGAGAGACATCCAAAATATGAACTGTTGGTGTGCCTCAAGGAACAGGGTTGGAACACCCTGATATAACACACTGAACTTATAGAAAAATGATAAAACATTGAAAAAGACATGTTTTTTTTTCTCCTGACCATTTTACTAATGACTTGGCATCATCTGTATTAAAGAGAAAATAATCACACCTTCTTTACATTCAGACGGTATTCAGTTCCGCGATCATGCTTGAAATGTCTAGGTGATAGAGTTTTTTCAGTAGCAGCTTCAAGACTTTGGAATAATCTTCTCCTTAAAACATCTCCTACTTTGGAGTCATTTCAGAGGTCACTGAAAACACACTTATTTTCTTTTAGCTTTTAATCATGTGTTGCATGTGTTATATTATTTTTTTATGTACAGCACTTTAG